TAAATTTTATTTTTATTAAAATATTTTATATTTTAAGATGGGTTATATTTCCAGGTTTACCTGTCATTTTTTTCGTCTCTCTCTCATTCTCTTGACTCATCCATCACCGTTGGCATCTCTCTGCCCTTCACCATTCATTCTTCAATCTTAACCCCCTCCATCCGTCCACCAATCACCTTCCTCACCTCTTTCCTTCCCTCAACTTTGTTCTTTGCTTTTACTCTATCTCAACTAATCACCACCTTTCATTCTTTCTCTCTGTACTCATAACAAAGCCTTGCAGAGTTTGACAGTACAAGCAGTAACATGTTTGACTGTGAGCAAGGTATTATAGTATTTTGGGAAATTGATGACACTCAGAACCTAATAAGTAGTAAGTAAAGCCTACGAGTCTATTGTCCTTTGTTTATATTTGTTGTTGTGCTCTGCCAGACCACACTTCCTTACGTGACCCTGATTGCTGAACACGTGCTTTGCAACTCGTTTTAATCATTAAAAACTAATCTCTTAATCTACATACCTAGGCTTAATAAAGGAGAGTCCAACAGAATGAAACTTGAAAGAAGCTGATTGATTAATACGAATAATATATGTAGAAGAGGCCAAAAGTGAGAGTGAGGCAAGTGCAGCTCTCAATGTGGACGTTTTTCGAAATGAAAAGAGGTGAAGGAGATGGTGAGTGAGGGGTCTGAGACACTCTGAGGTAAAGGAACAGAAAAAGAAAAAGAGTTAGTAGCAGTAAAAGCTCAGACCGTACAATCTTCTCAGACAGGCATTACCTTCTGGGAGAGACCAGTTCTTTAATTCAATACTACTATACTCTCTCTCATTCTCTCACATGTCCAAACTACAATACCAATAAAACCTATTTCCCTCTTCTGTTTTTTATGGCCCTGGCTTTCTTTCTTCTTTCTCTTTTCCCCCACTCTCACTTTAATTAGTTTAAGGATTTCCGTAGAGATATCAGAGACAAGAGCCTGACACTGACGCAGCTTACCTGCTGCCTCTGCTGCTGCACCTGCAGAAGCAGTATCATCAGAGAGGTGCAGTCATAATAAGATCAGAGAAAGAGAAAGCATGGCATGCACCTCTGAATTCACAACCATTAGTTTTATTCATGTGCAGAAGATTCTGTAACTCAATGGTCCCTGAAATAATATACCTACTCTACTCCTCCTCCATGGCCTATTTGTCCATGTTACATTCATACTGATGCGCATATGGGTGTGTATATATTATACATTAGTACACATATCAGACACTAAAGTTAAAAATACGAACGAACTTGACTCTTAAAGAATTGGTTCTTATGAGCTTGATCCTTAAAAGCTTGAATCCTATAATCTAATTTTTATTTTAAATCTCATTTCTCAAGCTTGGCCTTTATATGAAGAGCTCATAGTCAGGCCCGCAAGCCCTTTTTCAAAAAAATAAAAAAAATAAAATAAAATTAAACATTATAAATTAATTAAAATATTTTGATATTTAAAAAAATAAATTCTCATAATTTTTTAAAAATTAAACAACACACATTTAGAAGTTTAGTAATAAAATTTAATCTTAGTTAAAAAATAATTTATTTTTCATAAATACACAAACATAATAATTATAGAAAAATAAAAAAATATCAAGAATTTTATACTATACATTGATATTTATTAAATTATATTAAATTAATTTTAAAATAAATTAAAATTAATATAATATAATGTGTGTAGAATCAGGTGAGCAGATCATTTGGTTTCAAACACGTGTTCTATTAAAAATAATAACAATAACAATATAATCTTGAAGGGTTACCCGAGCCCGAGCCCTTTTTTACAGGGCTTGAAGGGCCAAGCCCTCAAAACCGCTTATTTTAAAAAAAAAATTATTTTTAAAGCTCAAACTCTCATTAAATAAGGCCTCTAAGCCCGACCCTTGTTTCCGACTCTACCAGACACAATGTGGTATTCATTTTTATGTACAATATATGGTTTTTTTTTATCTTTTATATTTTTTTTCTAATGTGAATGTCAAGTAAGAAGAATCCCCACGGGCTCTGCTGATATTACTCACTGAAACTGACTCTTTCTTTCACAGCACTGTCAAGTGCGTCAATTTAAACGAGATCTGTTTCTTTTGTTGCTTCCTATCATCTATCTTGCTGTGTGCGCTCTTTTGATTCCGTTCCCCTTTTCTGTTTCTCAGTTTGTTTTCGTCTTCCTCACTCTCACTCTGCTTGATGATGAACGGCGGAAAGAACAGGTTCCCTTTTACTCCATCACAGTGGCAAGAGCTCGAACATCAAGCCCTTATTTTCAAGTACATGGCTTCAGGCATTCCCATTCCTCCTGATCTTGTCTTCTCCATCAAAAGGGCCTCTCTTAACTCTCCTCTTTCTTCAAGGCTCTTGTCCCTCCCACCTCAACACTGTAAGCTTCTCCTCTCTCTCTCTCTCGCTCTCTGTGAATGAATTTGTGCATATCAGTTTCGTGCTTGAGGTTGTTAATTCAATAATAAATTATAACAGTTGGGTGGAACTATTTGGAGATGGGTTTGGGAAGAAAGATAGACACGGAACCAGGAAGGTGCAGGAGAACAGATGGGAAGAAATGGAGATGTTCCAAAGAAGCTTACCCAAATTCCAAGTACTGTGAGAGACACATGCACAGAGGAAATAACCGTTTGAGAAAACCTCTGCAGCAACAGCAACAAGGCTTTAGAACAACGTTAACCTCACCAACGAACCATACAAATTCGTCAACAGTCACGAAAAGCAACAACATTCCTCCTCCTTCACTCTCCCTCACCACTCATTCCTCATCTCTCACACCTCTCTCTGATGCCACCCACAATCATTCCTTCCTCTATAATCATCAGCATCCTTCAAGGTCGTCTTCATCATCGGCTTTTGGCTTCTCTTTACAAGATGATTGTGCCTCTCACTTGTCAGTGATTTTTCTTTTGCTTTTCGTTTGATGACTTTGATCCCTAGTTCGTCATTCTTTTCTTTATCTCTTCAGGTTTTGTTGGTGATTTTTTTTTTGTCCTTTTTCCTTGTGTTTTGGTGAAGTAGGAATAGTGGTTATGTTTATGATGGACTGAAAGAAGAGGTAGACGAGCATGCTTTCTTCAAAGAGCCTTCTGGGACCATGAGAAGCTTCTCTGCTTCATCAATGGAAGATTCTTCATGGCATCTCGCGCCACTCTCAATGAGCTCATCGTCTTCTTCCTCGAAGCAGAGGAGCTACTCTGGTTTGTCCACCGAGTACTCTTCTTACTTGCAGCTTCAGAATCAGAACCTTGGTGAATGTACGAACCAGCAAGATCAAGATTACTACATGCTGGGACTGGGGAAATCAGAAGAGCCTCAGAATCAGAAGACCGTTCATCGCTTCTTCGACGAATCGCCCAACAAAAGCAAAAACTCGTGGCTTGATTGTGACGATAAATCGTCCACAACCCAGCTTTCAATATCCATTCCCACCTCCTCTGATGATCACGACCATTTTCCAAGCTTCAATTTCAGAACCCACCAAGGTAATTAAGAGGACTTTTTGCTGTTTCATTTCTCTGAAAAATTCCATTTCTGGGTTACGGTTTATTTATGATTTTGCAGATGTTTGAAGTTTCATGACTGGGGTCCCTGGATCAAAAGGCCAATAATGTAGTTGAACTAGGTGGGGTTCAGACTCTGGAATGTGCTTAAGTGCAGATGTAATGGAAGTGTCTCCATGAAGGGATCCAATTTGTAATGCAAAGAAATGTTAATGCTAATTCTAATTCTGAGTAGCTTTTTTAGTTCAGTTCTTTCCGCCATTCATAATTTTCAAAAACCTTGTTTTCATTTAGGTCACTTGACAATATTCAATTCAATGCCTTCTAGCTTCTAGCTGTTATTGTTCGTTCATCGTCCTCCGGCATCAGTAGATGGAAATATGATAATTGGGTGCCTCTTGGCCAAGAACTTTTCCATTTTCTCACTTCTCAAACGTTGAAATTCAAAACTAGTTTGGATTATATTGACCCCTTTGTGATTTTTTACTTCCCATTTTCACTGGTTCAATGAAATGTTTTATTTGTGATCCATGAAATGTTTTCATGTTCTGTTTATAATCGATCTGATCTAGTTTGATTATATAGTTTTGACTCTGGTTTGACAAGGTAAATTATCCGGTCAGATTAATATCGATATCAAAAAATATTGCCAACAAAAAGAATATTGTATTACGGACTGTAATCAAGTTATTAGCCCCTTGGGGGAACTACTTTGACTGGGTTGGGGTTGCACGGAAGACATGTCTTGTCTTGTAATCAAGTTATTTTTAAATTTATATTTTAACTATTCATTGAAATTTATTTGATTTTCAATCTAGTTTGTTGAATTTTAAAATATGTAATTAAGACGTTATAAATTTCTCAAATTTTAATTTGAATTTATCGTTAACTTTTAATGTATCAAGTTTTGTTGGTAACTTGGCGTAAGCAAAATTGTGTGCAAGTTTACCTGTGAGTATTGCCAATAAAAGGAATAAATACTAGAGTGAAATTAACTCAAATATAGCAGGTGTATTTAAAAAAAAAGAAAAAAAGAAAAGGCATCGGAAGCGTGATAAATAGTTAACCAAACATAAATTGATATATTTTATAATAAAAATAACTAAAGTGCAGGTAAAATATTAATGAAGCATGCATAACTACTCCAATATAAATCAAAACCAATGTTATTAAAATCGGACCGGACATTAAACCGGTAAGGCACTGGTTCACGATTCAAAGGTCGGACTGAGGTTGAATCATTTGTAATTAAATTAATATATTTTAAATATTATACATTAAAAATTATAGAAAATATGATAAACTAAAAATAACTAACTACTAATAAAGTGATAATTTCATCATACTTCAAAGTTCAAAGGCATACTCCAAAGTCATTCATGACCATGCACAACACAACACCATAGTTTGACATTCTCATACAATCCAATGGTCCAAATTCAACTAAAAAACTACAACATTCAATTGCCATATAAATCTTTTAAATTAAACTCTCCAAAATCATGTTGGAGATCACAAACATCTCCTTCAACTCTTATAGCATTTAATGAATCCAAAATAGGAGATTGTAGAACATTGACATCTTCAACAACACCTAGACATATATTTGGCAAAAAAATAGTTAGCATTAACATATAAATAATGAATGAATAAACTATAAATCAAACAAAGCTTTAATGTAAAAAGAAGAGGAGCAACCTTCATTTTCCCTTAATTCAGGACCGAATCCAAAGGGACATGCATTTCCACCAAGAAAATCTTCATTTTGAATTTTCTCAATAGTGAAATCAGGATTTGGAGTTGTAACTTCTTCAGCTATCCAATACTCAAGCTTATCAATTGATTCATAATCAACAAGAACATAGCTCACCTTCTTCAATTTTGACCTTATATATATATATATATATATAATCACAATCAAATCCCTAATCATTTAATTATTGAAGCCAAAGAGAGTTATTTTAAATTTGAGTAATGATTAATAATCACCTGTTTAGCAAATGCAAGTTGTAGTTAACAAACACAAGATCATTCAATCTTTCATGTTCTAGTCTATTTCTTTTTTTGGTATGAATTCTTTCAAATAAGCTCCAATTTCTTTCACATCCTGAAGAAGAAGAAGTTTGTCCCAAAATGCGAATTGCAAACTTTTGTAATATTAGAGCACTACCCCCAAAACATTGCCACCAGACATCTACATCAAATTCAAATAAATTAATAGTAGTTAATATTTAAAATTATAATAAAAGAAAAAAAAGGAAGAAGCTAACCAGGTTGAATTTCATTTGCTACTTTATAAGCTTCTTCTCAGCTAAAAGAGCCTTGGTGCTTGCGGTACATTTGCATCTCAAAAATCATGTCAGAATATTTATAGATAGACTTGTATATTGAAAAATAGTCCAACATTGATTTTGTCACTCTACTCTTCTCAATAAATCCTTGATCATACAAGAATGTAGGATTTAAAAAGTAGATTGCTGCATGCAAATCATACTTCAAATGCTTATCCCACCGAGCTTGAATTATGCTTGTGTAAGGCTTGTATTGTTCCTTCTTTCTACGAAAGAAATTTTTGATTGAATTCTTTGCTCTCTGCATACCCTCATAAACATAACCCAAAGATGGTTTTTCATCAACATCTACAATTCTTAATAGCTTGATAAGAGGACCCACAAGACATACAATTTGATGGCAATCATCCCAAAATTTCTTGTCCAACACAATGTCACCAACTAGTTGCCCAACTTTAGTCCTTGATTGTTTATTATCATGAAAGTGTTTATCTAAGACTAAGGCTTACAAGTCATGCTTGTGCCCATGCAAACTCTTCAATGTAATGAAGGTAGTAGCAAACCTGGTCGCTCCTGGGTGCACAATTTCTGTCCAACCATCTCTTCTCTTAAGCCATGAAAGAAAAGCCATATGATTGTACACAAAAACAATAATTTTTGATGCCTTTGTTGCAAGGTCAGCTACATGGGGCATGCTTGCAATGTCCTTCAAAATAAGATTCAAACAATGAGCAACACAGGGTGACCAATAAATATGATTATATTTTTCACGAATCAACTTACCAGCAGCTACATAATTAGTTGCATTATCAGTCACAACATGCACTATATTTGTAGGACTGACCCACTCAATAACTTTACAAAACAAAGAAAACAAATTCTTGGCATCCTTAACTATATGTGAACCATCAACAGACTTTACAAAAACCAAGCTAATAGGAGAATAAACTAAAAAATTTATTAATGTCCGTTGCCTTTTGTCAATCCAGCCCTCAACCATGAGTGTGCAGCCACTTTCTTTCCAAGTGGCCCGATGGCTTTCAATAAGTAGTTGACACTCTTTTCTACAATCAGTCAACAAGTTAACCTTTAACTCCTCAAATGAAGGACCTTTAAAACCTGGGCCAATTGCAGCAATTGCATCCAAAGCAGGCAAAAAATATGGACAATTTACAGCATTAAATGGAATGCAATTCATATATAACCACTTTACAATGGCTAATTTAGCTTTATACTGAGCTTCTTTAGATAACCACACACTCTTTAACCCTGGTTGGGAGCCAGAAGTTGACCTTGGGGCAAAATAATTGTCAACCCCATTAGTTTTTCCTTTTTTTTCACAACAACAACACTGCTAGAACCTGCCTTCTTAGCTTGCTTACTTGGCTCTGGATTTAGAGCAATTACTTCACATTCTGAGTTATCAACAAACTCTTCAGGCATGTTTGGATCTTCAAGCTTCCTCTTATTTACCAATAACACTTTTTTTAAAGATTGAACCATTCTATGGCAAACATCATGTGGAACCTTCTTGTAAGAAATTATATTTCCTAAAATACCTACGAGATGCTGCTTCATCCTATTGATCCCACCTCCTCTAAATGATGAGGAGCAATGAAGGCAAGTATACACACAGGTTCTCCCCTCTTTTTTAAAAGCAAAATGCTCCCATGCAGGATTACTTTTCCCTTAAAGAGATGGTGTAGATGATACTTGAACCCCAAAGGCATCATTATTATTCAAACTAACAGCAGTTTGTGGGGTACTATCAATATTTGGAGTTGAGCCAGAGGGAGTGTCAACGACAGGAGTAGGATCAGGATTATTAACTTGCACATTAGGCTCGGTGGCAAGAGTAGGAGGTTCCAAATCCATAAAAAACAACTAAGCTTAATCAAAATATAATCAAAATTATTAAATCAGCAATCAGCACTAGACGTCCAGATTCACAATCAATTATTTATTAAACTATCATTTGATTGAGCTTCAAGAATAGGAGCTCTAACCTGTTAATGAAGATTGAAGATGGCAGAAGAGGCTGGAAATGGACTTGACCGGACTAGAAAATATCAAAATGAGAGGTCAGCCGAGACTGGTGAATGAGCCGAAGTCCAATAAAAATGCGGCGAATAGAGGAGAGGGAGGAACGTGAACAAGATGACCAAGTAAGAGCTCGTGAGGTTCGCCAGACTGGTTCTGTGGAAGCTCGCTGGACTGGTTTTGTGATAGCTCACCGAATCTTGTTCTGTAGAAGCTCGCTAGAAAGATTCTTCAACAGATCGGCTAATAAGGTTCCATGGTAGCTTGCGTTCAGGCTTCGAATTTCTTCTCAGACTGGCTGACAGCTAAGAGAACTCGAGGGAGAAGAAGAAGACATGATCAAATAATTTTAGGTTCTGGGCTTCTGGCGTTCTGAGGACAAAACAACGCTGTTTTGTGAAACTGGAAAGGAGAAAAAAAATAAATACTGGACCGCCTGAACCGCCGGTTCTCCCGGTTCAGTTCGGTTTAAAGCTAGTTCAAGCGGTTCCTGTCCGATTCTCCCTTCCCCTCGGTTTGCATCATCTCCGGATCGGATACCTGGCTGGTTCCCAGTCTGATTTTAATAACCTTGATGAAAACACCACACACGAACTTAAATGGTTCCCTAATATAAATGATGCGAGGTTGAGGTCGTTGGGTGAGAATTTTCCTTAGTGCTTCACCTTTTAATTTTTTCGAGGTTAAATAATCAATGGGTGAATAATGCAAGATTCTCCACTAATTTTTTTTACCAAAAAAATAATTAAAAAAATTTCATTTAAGGATTAGAAATGTTGACTTATTTACAAATCAAATATAATAAAATTTGAAACTATACTAAGGACCAAAAGACTTCATTGAATTTTTTTTATAGGAAATGACCAAAATGTTCTTCAATTTTTTATACGATATTAACAAGTCAAGTCATGAAATTAATATGCACTATTGTGAAATTAATAAGTAAAGTTACTCAATTAACAAGTAATCCAATTTAGGGGAGGGAGCCATGAATTTAATAAGTAAAATTAAGTAATTAACAAGTTTTACTGAGCAATTAGCTAGTAAAGTTATACAATTAATAAGTGATATAATTCAATTGAAAGAGTTACAAATTTAACAAAATTAAGTAATTAATAAGTTATATTGAAAAACTAACAAGTTATATGGTTAAGTCTAATTAAAGGGCATTTTGGTCATTTCATTTAAAAGATTATTTTAATTTAGTCCTTTGGTCTTGTAGTGTGATTTTATATTTTATTGAGTCTAATTTATGAATAAGTCATGTTCCTAATTCTTAAATGAACTTTTCTCAAAATAATTTTCTTTTATTTTCACTAGTTATCACTTCTCAATTATTTTGAGGTTTGCATCAGAAGTAATTTGAAGGACTTTCCCCTCCCACGGTACCCTCACCTGTCAGTCGGGACACAGCTTGACTGCTTCCCTCAGCCAACATAAGCTTTCCAGTTTTTCACATTTAAATCCACTCAATTTTTATATTTTAAATAAAAAGGAAATATGATCATTAATTCTTATATTTTTATCAAAAAAAAAATTAGTGGTTTTAATTCCTCTAGTTTTGATAGAATTGGGTGACATTTATTACATAGGTTCCTATAGTTTCAGTGTTTTTAATTCTTATAAAAACTGGAAATACTAAAAAAAATTATAAAAATTAAAAGCAAAATTCAATAAAACTATATTGACCAATGATTATGTTTTCCTTAGATAAATCATAGGGAATATAATATCTGAGGAATTAAAAAAGATAAGATAAAAATAAAATGTAAGATAAGGTAATTTAAATATATTTTTGTAAGTTTTGGAATAGATGTTGAATGACCTAGAAATTTAAGGGAAAAAATTATAATTTATGACATTTATAGTTTGAGGTAAACTTATCAAGTTATATTATGGCTTAGTGAAAGTGCTTATTTGGAATTTGGATTCAGTAGCTGTACTTAATATAAGTATTGAGTGCTTGTACTATCTAAACTGTTAAAATTTAAATCAATAATTCAGATAAACTTATTTATTTATAAATCTCAAGTAAAGTATAAATTTATAATTATTACTGTAAATTTTAACAGTTTAAATAATACAAACACTTAATATTTATACTAAGTAAAGTTATCAAATTTAAATCCACTTAGTTGTAAGGTTTTGACTTTGAATCCTCTTGGTACACAAAGAGAGATATTTTTAATTTGTTTTTGCTTTAGCCTGGGAGATACTATCATAATGCCCTTCTAGTGTTTTTTTTTTTTCGTTTCTTAAAAAAAAAAAACAAGAAGAAGAAAAGAAGAAACACAAGGTCCCATACTTTTACTTCCCCATTCATTTCTTGGCTGGGGTATTCACGCAAAGAGTGAGAGAGAGAGAGAGGGAGAGAGAGCTTCGTTTTTGGTCCATCATTCCTCCTCCTCCTTTCGTTCATCCGTTGCCGATAATCGTGGGGCTGCCGTTCGCTGCTGTGGTGGGGCTCCATCAACGTCAAGGTTGCGATTTCCTCTTCTTCCTTCTCCATTTTGGGCACTGACAGCTTCCTCCATTGTCCGTGTCGAGTTCGGTGCAAATCTTTCTCCTCCATTCCTTTTGCATGATGCTAGAGGGTATGCACGGAGCTGTTCCATTGCTGCAGGAAGTTCGATTTGTTGGTTGTTCCTCTTCCCCTGTATCGCCATTAGTCTACTCCTCTCTAGCTTGGTGTTGCCACTGTGCTCATGCGGCTGGTGAAAGTTTCATCCTCTTCTCTCTTAATTTTCTTTTATAGCATCATTAGGTGAGAGAGCTATCCTTGACGTAAATTGCAGCTCTTCCTCTTCCTTGTAGAGTTTATTTTTCTGATTTCCTTTACCTTTCCTAGTTGCAACTAATTATGTGAATTTATTAGAGAAATATACTCATTCCCTTAAGCAGTTCGAAATGTATGCATAATATAAAAGAAGAGATATGCTTATATTTGTACCCGATATGCAATCACCGGACTGTGTACAAGGGATAATAAACAAATATTTCAGGAATGAATGCTTGTTCAAATCACAAATTAGTTCTATTTACTGAAAGAATTTGGATATGTTTCAAAAGTGTTCCCCCCCCCCCAAAATTGTAAATTAAAAAGAGGGGAAAAAAGGACCATGGTGTATTGGTGTTGACTAGAATTCAGGTTATTTTCTAGCCAACACTTGTGTGTGTAACACACACACAATGGAAAGAATTCTAGCCATGGGTTGGTGATTTTTCCGCTTTAGCTGTGCTTATGACAGATATCTCTTGGTATGTCGGTTTTCTCTAAAGAAGCCGGTTTTTAAGATGCTTTTATTGAACTCTTATTATTGAATTAAAAATATTTTTTAAAATCTTGTTCTGATTTCTATCTTCAATACTATAAATATGTATTCATATCAATTTACATGTATCTTTAAGTATTTTAAAGATTTCAAATTATCAAGATGTGGCTCCCATCTTAAGGAAATTAAACAAGATTCAATATTTATTTATTTGCTTATATTTGAAATATTTTAACATTGAACCTTGTTATTATGTAATTACTAAATTACTTGTGTTTCGGATAATAAAAACGTACGACCTCCTTTATCTGCATTAGAAAGAGGATCCCTTGTTTGATAGTGGCGATACTTGTTGCGTTTGAGTTGTATTCATGGTAAATTTATTTTATGATTTTGTTGTAAAAATAAATTATTATAAAATTGTAAGCAAAGTGCCCATTTCTTTGATTTGAATGATTTAAAGATTGAGTGATGAACTCTTGTTCCAACTAAAGTCGATTGACTGCTGTAAACATTTTCACTTTAAAAATAATAATAATTCAACTCTTGGAGGAGTTACTATTGAATTTTATACACATTAGTTGTCATTATACTAATGAAGTGGTTTTTTTTTTTTTGTTTTTAATGTAACTAGAAACATTATAAATTGATTGGGCTTATGAAGTGAGGTTTACTTTGTATTTCATTCCAGTCACGCTCGTTTTGGTGAGGCGTGATAGGAAAAATTGTAATGAGGACCGGTGAGTAATTAAATTTCAGTCAAAACCCCTTAAATTTAAAAATTTTATTGCACATGTGAGATGTACAAATGAAAGAAAGAGTTGACTTAAGTGATTTTATTGACCTTAGTGAAGTTAGGCAAATAAACAACTCATATGAAAAAATTAATAACTAATGTATAAAAAATGAATAATTGATGTAGATAGAATTTGCAACTCTCATTCCACTTATGTCAATTATATATTTGTCATACATTATTTGTTCATTTTCTCTGCACAAATTGTTCATGCCTTAGCTTCCCTTGTTTTATATTCATAATAGTGTTACACTTTTAATGAGAGTCATAAATTTCGCTTACATTAATTGTTCATTTTTTATATATTAGTTGTTAATTTTTTCACAAGATTTGTTCATACACCTAGCTTCATCGAGAACAATGAAGTCATTTTAGTCCCCTATATGTGCAGTAAAATTTTATAATTTTAAGGACTTTAACTGCAATTAAGTTTGATCAAGGGTCCTCATTGAAATTTTTCCTAAATTATGGGCAAATGACGATGAGGGAACCCATTAAAATATTAATGACAATTATAAACTTTAAATTATTGAAATCTTAATAATAGACCATGGTCGTAACTTGCAATTAAAAAAATATGAATAGTAAGTTGAAAAATCTAATAAATATATTTGGAATTGTTTGTAATTTAATTGAGAATTTACGAAACTCAATTATAAATCACAAACCAATTATTTGTGATTTTCTTTTGTTACTTGAAAAATTGACAAAAGATTGTTAGAATTTTTTATAGCATTAGTAGAGAATTTACTAAAGTCCAATATAAA